TAGACCTCATAACACTGCTACCAATAGCAATAACACCTTCCACTATTAGAGCTAATAATAATATAGACCTAATATCACTGCTACCAATAACAACCTTCTACTATTAGAGCTAATAATAATAATAATCATAATAATAGAGACCTAATAACACTGCTATTAATAACACCTTCTGCTATTAGAGATAATAATAATAATAATCATCATCATCATGTAGACCTCATAACACTGCTACCAATAGCAATAACACCTTCCACTATTAGAGCTAATAATAAAATATTCCCAATAATGGACCCCACCACCTTAGTATTGGTGATATGATTGATATCAGCCAGTACAGAGGGGTGTGGTGCTGCCATTACCCCTGGCTATGCTTGGTTGGTTCCTCCACTGGGACAGGTGCAGGTCCCTGTAGGTCCACCTTCTCAGTAGCTCCCAGTCCATCCACACTGCCCAGGCTGCTGCTCTCGCTGCTGGACTCACTGAGCCCATTAGAACCAGAACCAGGACTGCTCCTATCCATCTTCCTGCTGCCATTCTTTTTGCCAACACTCAATGACTCGAAATTGATGGTCTTATTCTCAAAGGCCCCCTCCACATTGCAGAACATGCCCCCATACTTCTGCCTGGGTTTGGGACTCCCTGAGCCCAGCTTGGAGAAGTATGTGGGCTCCTCTTGCTGGACTTGCTCTGATTTCCTCCTGTCTGCCATGTCTGCTGGTTTGCTGGTTCTCTGCAGGTTGTCCCCTATGATAATCTGAAGTGAAGTGTGCTCCTGGTCTGCCAGGCTCAATTTGAGGCAGGGCCTGTGTCTCCAATGTGTCACATAACCCCCTGAGGTTACAGTACCCCAGCTGGCAGCTCCATTTAGGGATGACTGAGCTGTCCAATGGGTGTGGTGCTGAACTGGTGTGAATGACACCCTGGAGCTGCTTGTGTTGTCACTGAGTGATGGGGCTGCACAGATATTGTGTGTTTTTATCAGATCATTGAAATTGTCATTTCTACATTCGATGTGTTCCATCAGATTGGCTTTCTGGCATGACTGCCTAATTAATATTGTTTTCTAATGCTCTAAAAGAGAGGTTTCTGTGCTAAATGTGTTATAAATGGAACAACAAAACAAAAGATTTTCTATATTTTCTATTTAAAAGGTATAAAACCCAACAAATAATATATTGCAGCTTATCAATTCTTAGATGTGGTGGCTGCATTAGTTTTCTTTTTCCCCTTTGTTTTCATCTGGTAATCTAGCCGGTAACACCTCCTGTATTAAGAGTGCCTCCACTCTGGATGACAGAGCACAGGGGCACCTTTGGACAGCAGCACATTTAATGTGGAAGATGGGAGTGTTAGATGTATTAGCAGATTTAGATTCATTAACAAATTGAAGCCACACTCCACCTAATACTTTGTATGTAGTTGCAACAGTCCTGTTCCATTTGAGATAAACGTTTTACATAAATAAGCAAAAACTGATCATTGAAATATCCCGTCAGTGGAAAATGGTTTGCCTGATGCCTCTGACTGCTACATATGCAAGAGAGCTTCTTCTTTTGAAAAACAACAGACTTACAGGCCAGATCACCCTTTAATAATACAAGAAAGGAAGCCTAAAAAAGAAACGTTTGCAGCCATCACATTTAAGAATTGGTAAGCTGCAATATAATATGATTGCTTTTGTTTTTAATACTGCTTTGAGGGCCGGTTCACATCATAGAAACTGAGTCTGGATGCGTTCCGGTTACATTTCTGCATGCACGTTTTTGATGCGTTCCGGTGTGTTTCTGCATTAGCGTTTTTGATACTTTCCAGATGTGTTTCTGCATGTGCACTTTTAATAATCGATACACTGAAAAGTAAATAAACTATAGAACATTCCAGAAAAGTATAATGCTTAGAATGTATCTTCTCCATATCCCAAAGGAGACCTGGGGCACTCAGTAGAATACCTAGGGCCTGTGCTCCTGTCCTGCTTCGCTTTCATGTACTTTTTCTGTGTTGTATCAAACTGCATCAGGTTATTATTTCTAGTATGCTGACATCTAATGGTGGGTAAGGCCATTACAAGTTGTTTACTGTTATGACTTTGGTATGGTCCTCCGTTCTCCCCTCCTGTTTAGTGCTTGATACTTTGCTTTGTGGCTTCAGCAAAAATGAACATGCATGTTGCATTCATAGAGTGTGGTGCCTCAACAGGACACAATCCATTTAGGTTTCTGGAACGGCTCTTCGACCTTGTGCAATGACATGGTGATTTGGCCTTTTTAAGGTTAAAACAGATGGTGAGGCGGCAACATACCACCTCCTTACTCCCTGTTAAATGCCGTCGTATGGAGAAAAGACAGATTCTGTATTTCAAGTTTTATATACCATAGTGACTTAACAAGACTTATAAAACTGTTAAAGCAGAGTTCCACTCAAATGTGGAAGCTCTGCTTGTTTGGCTCCCCGCCCTCCACTGCCATATTTGGCACCTATTTGGGGGGGAGGGGGGAGCAGGTACCTGGTTTTGACAGGTACCTGCTCCCACTTCCATCTC